AGAGAGAGAGAGAGAGAGAGAGAGAGAGAGAGAGAGAGAGAGAGAGAGAGAGAGAGAGAGAGAGAGAGGGGCTGGTGGTAACCCACCTGGATATGGCCGCTTCCTTCGCTTCCTCCCAGTGCTGCGACCCCTGGCTCCTTCGTGCTGCTGTTCGCAGCTGCACGGGATATCGCTGAACGATGAAGTTGGGAGCTGCTTCCTGTTGCAGTGAACACGAGAAGAGGAGTACGAGACGACGACGACGGCGACGAGGAGACACGGCGGCCGTGAAGGACTGCGTGGCGTCGGGGCACCAGGGTCGACTGCCGGGCTGGGGGCTGACGTGGGGCAGGTTCGAGAAGTTTAAAAAATGAACTAGGATCTCCCCGCTCCTTTTTTTTTTTTTGTAGCCGGTGGCACGAAGTCCCTACCCGGCATACAACCTCCCCCCCCAACTGTCGTTTTTTTTTTGGGACCCCTCGATTTGCCTGTGCGCCGCATGGCATGCGCGCGCATCATGCGCGCTGCGCTGTGCGACGCATGTGCGCACTGCAGCGCATGCCGATGCGCCGCATGTATGGTATAGATGGAAATGTCTGAGGGACTGAGCTGTCAGATGTATCTGGTACACCTGGGAACGAGCCGTCCAGTACCCATTCATGAGGTCCAAGGATTTGTCAGGATTGGCCTGGGGTGGGGGGGGTGAGGGGTGGAGTCTCTTGTGTTAATCCCATATGTCGGCGCCAGATGTGCATTGTAACGACTGTCCCTTGTGGCGATTTCAGATGGCCTTCTTGCCTGTCACCAAGGCTGCTAACTGCTGTTGGTGACAGAGGGGGATGTGCAGCACTTCACTGATCTATGCATGTATGTATTTTGTGTTTGCTTGTCTGATGTTCTCTTGAGAGTTCAGCTCTTCGCCCTGATCCAGGACTGGCAAAGCCAGAACAAATGAGCAGCGCCTTTTGGCAATGGAGGACGCCATTAGCTTACCGTGCACTTTCACAGGTATGTGAAAACAGGTTTTTTTGGTTGTTGGCACTTGTTGCATCCTTCTGAAGGGATCTGGGTTTCAAAACACTCATTTATGTGTATGCAGAGTGCGCCTACTATGTGCATGTGCCACCTCTCCAGCGCTGTGAATGTATGCTTTGTTCTCTTTCTTCCCCATCCAATGGGCCAGTTGAAGTTATATGTTCCCCTTCCGTGACCTGTTTTGTGAGCTTGGAGATTCAAATTCGGCAAATGGGTTGCGCTGTGCGTCTTTCTTTCCCATTTCGCATGTATCTCATCGACTGCAGCGATGGATAAAAGTATGGCCTGTCAATTATTACTGCTTAACAAGGACAGAAGAGTCGAAGGGCGAGAAGGAGCAAAATAAGAATGAGGTGAACGAACACAGAGAAATGGGTGCTGCAAGTTTTCCACACAGCTACTGGGTAAATGACAAAGGGAAACTAAGGAGAGGTTGAGGCGAAAGAAAACGAAGAAAATGAGGAGGTGAATTGCTGGAGGTGCGCAGCAATTTATACAGGTGGAAGCCTTGAAAACGAAAGCAGAGTGCAAGGAGGAGGAGGTGGAAGAAGAGGAGAGATGTAAGCAAGAGGAGGAAGACGATCACGAGCTCAAAGCCAAGTAATAATGGAAATCTTTGAGTCAAGGTGCAAAAGCAAAGCAAGGCTGCTCCCAAGGAAGCGAGGGAAGACACACACACACACACACACACACACACACACACACACACACACACA